AAAATAAAATAAAAGTTAAAATTAGTTAAATCATTAGCCATTATAGTTAACTTCACAACAGCAGTTCTTGCTTTTAAAAACAAAATGGTAATATGTATTTCAGGAGAACATGATACTTTGCATATTTAAATGCTGAACTGAAACTCGGTCGCCTTTCATTCTGTGAACTGGTCTAGATGTCGGGCTTTTAGGTTCTTCTCTTAACTATTTTCTTGCTTGTTCTAAAAATCACAGTAGCATCATTGAACATTGGCTTTTGTGAATCAATAATCACTCTCCGATCATCCTCCTTGCAAATGCAAAGTATTTCCATATCTGACTCTTGCTGCCTTTCTTTGCCTTTCTTATCATCGGGTTGGGGTGCAGCTATTGCAGCAGCTGCACGAGTCACCATCTTCCACATGTAGTGTTTGCTATGCTTGTGGGCGTCCTCCTTCTTCTTCAGCATGTAAGAATAGAACATTTTGTAGGTTTAAACCGCCCCACACTTTCAGAATTTTCGTAATGAAAGATGTGATAATTATCAGTTCTGAGGATATCTCTGGTCCACTAGGACTTGATGTGGCAAGCTCGACTTTGCTTTTAATTTGTTGTGAAATATCCCTTGTGCAACACTGTATTTCCTGTAATCCGCTAACAACTGACACAAGATTAATCATACTGTCAGGAATGACTGATGGGCAGAAAGGTTTTTCTTAAATTTATTGTACTGTCCATCTGGATAAGTTAAAGATGGGAACAATATGATAGAAAATATCCTGAATATAGACTCAGACTATATTTGCAGCAAAGATAACGTGTAATATTTTCATTTGTGTTTGCAGTTGGTGGACAGGATTACTGGACACAAAACAGTAGATGCGAGGTGAGGCTTAGCGAGTCACTGTGGCTTTGAACACTAGCATAAGGACAGTCACATGCCATCTCCAGTCAGGGGTATGTTGGCACAGGTTTGTGGATGTGAATATTTGGATGACTTCAGCACATGCACACACACACTTGCACTGTGTGCACATATGCATGCACACAGTCATGGGGTATACACACAGCAATGATTTTTCACATCTCTCACTAGTTTGCAAATACAGAAATGCGCAGACGTCAGCTGTTGTGGACACTTCTTTATTGCAAAAGGAAAAATTGGTATTTGAGGCTTTTTTAGGTGTTTTTAAAGATTAGATGGGAGACTTCCAGTCCACAGCAGCAACCGGGCACACAATCAGTGCGCAAACATGCAACGCTGTGGATATTTTCATGCGAGTACACACGCACATCGCAGAACGCAGGCTCTCAGCATCAGTGCCCTGACCATAGGGAGTTTGTGCTGAGCTGGTTGGGACGTCAGGATGAATCAGTGTGCGGACAGCTGACTGGACGTGCCTATTCATCAGCCAGAGAAAAGAGAGTGAAAAATGGAGCGAGGGATTCTAAAAGAAATGAGTTAAGCCCCAGAGCAACATGTTTGGCTATCTGCATTACTTTACAGATCCTCCAATGGGCTTTGACTGTTGTATGGGATAAAGGCTGAAGAGGTGGAAAAGATAGCCGAGTACAGGAAGGAGAGGAGGGGGTAAGACAAGGGGAGTTTTCACGATTATTTTTGTTGTGTACACATGCAGTAGTAGGACACTGCAGATGCAAATATTAGCACTCACTAAGCAGATAGGCTGCTTTGACAAAGGCATAAGCTCATACTGTAGAGGCGGCTACCTCCTTTCTGATGGCCCGTTTATTCCCATCTGTTGCCCTCAGCTCTCTGACTTTATCCCCATTGTGTTAACTCATTACATTCGCCTTAACCATAACCCCTTAATTGCCACCTTCCAGTCTCTCTCCCATATCCTCCCCCCTCTTGGAGACAGTGTGCCACATTGCCCGTGCGTTAATCTGATAGCGTCTGCCTACCAAACACCTGCCATGTCCAGAAAAAACCCTCCTAAACTCCTCCAGATTCTGGGTTCAGCACCCATTGTAGCGTGAGCGGATCAGCACACATGATAGCAAGCAGGCAGGCACGCATTTAGACAGATGCAGATGCACATACAGCAGATAATTAGACGAACAACCTCACCTCCTGGAAATCATGCTGGAGTCAGTGTTTTTGCTTTAGCCTTTATGAGTATGTGTACCTATTTTTCCCCCTTGCATTCAAAGAAAGACGAGACAAACAAACGTTGTCTTTTGTCTCGCCTCTTCGCCCATTTGAAGACAGTGATGGGTAGGCCCAGGCCTCTTCGGTTTAACAATAACTCTCTCGACCCCCTAATGAGGGGTGGAGGGCCAGACATGAGGCGATGTGACAGTTCTGGTGCGGCTGACACAATAGCAGGTTTTTCTTTTGACTGCCTGGCTGAGCTAGAGTACCTTCTTTCACTAAAAACAGCCAAACAAATGGTCGTCGTTGCCTGAGGAACATGTTTAGCTACATCAGGCTGCCTCTGCCATGCACTGTTCGTTATGTAGAGCACCACAGCTGCTTGTATGTTTGTCATTTTTTGAGGTCTTGATAAGAAGTCTCTAAAGGAGCTTCTCACATCAAACTCATTTTCCTGGCAGACAAGATCATTTATCTCTAAAATGATGAAAGATTTATCGCTAGATTCCAATTTTCTTTAAGCAATTCTGATTTTTCTCTAAGCTTGACCTGCTGATAGAGACTTTTGTCAATTTGGTGTTTCTTTCTAAAAACTGTCAGCATATACAAGCAAAAACCTGGTTTTCTTCAATGCAGAATATCATATTTTGTAGTAAAATAAGACTGAATAAGGCTGAGAGGGAGCTAGCAGAGTTAAAGATGCACAAATTGCTTTTATAGGCAAAGTTAGAGAGGAAAGGTTGAGATGGTTTGAACTTGGGCATCCCCAAACCTCTCCAATAAACAACAGAAAGAGATACAAATAATTAAATGAGAATGAGTGGCTTTACAGGCACCTTTACCTGACATGTTTTACCCCACCAGCCAAAGCAGGTGCAGCAGATGTATATACAACAAAACAAATATCAGGTACATCATTTCCCAGTGTCTTTATAACTTCACCAGATGACACAAAAGGGCAGATGTCCTGTTTTTTTACCCATCTCCATAATTTTCCTGGTAACTACTTTGATTCTTGCTTTGGTGAACTTGATGACTATGATGAAATATATTCGCCTACATGTGCATTATGGAAAAAAACACTGAAGTTGTTCTAAAGTTTATGAGGTCAATTCATAGAACAACAAACATATTTTTTCCCCCAGTGTTTCCCTGGAAGCGATCATGTTTTGTTTGGGTTTTTTTTTTAAAAAAAGGGGAGAATCTTGTATCTCCCGAGTTGGTCGTTCCGATAAAAAAGAGAAAAAAAAGTTCCCTATATGAGTAGAAAAAGAAACATGTTGCGAACATGAGCAGCTGACCTGTTCAAGATGAGTCTCAAAGCATATATTGGACAGGCTGTTCCAAAAAAATGTGCTGCAAACATAAAAAGTTCAATTTTATGGTTATTTTATGTATTATATGATAATATTTAGCTAATGTGTTAAATTAACCCTTTTAAATACCATTTCCTATAACTTCACGGTCACCAACATTTCTATCTGCTACTGAATCTTGTTTGATTCACCACTAAATATATGATTATGAATCAGCATCGCAGGCCATGCAAAAATGACCCAGTATGTGCTGATTAGCCTTGTGTTCGTGTTGCCAAAGTTTTTTGGAGTTTTGATAAACATTTACTGTCCGAGGCAAGCTATTTTAAGATTAAAAAAAAAAAAAATCATCATCCTCGAGAAAAAAAAAAAAAAAAAAGCCAAAAATGTAGGTATAAACCAGGTCAGGGATCTGGACAAATGCTACATCACTATACCTGCAGTCTCAACAATGATTTGTGTGTAAAACCTTAAAGATTTAGATTATTTTGATACTAAAAGTTACAAATGTACATTCTTACCTTTTTACTTACAATCTTGCATCAGCACTCAGCCCAGAATCCGTGCTCTGTATGTGCGAGTAAGTGAGTTTCTAAAATGAAGTTTGTTGATAATGGATTATTGATCGTGAATTAGAGTGGATGGCCCCTGGGGGCTCATCCTGGCCGGCCAGGAATGAATACATCTCTTCATGCTTCACCTCACACACTCAATTTCGGCATAAGCAACCAAAGGTCTGACAGACACACGCATGTTGAGACACTGACCCGTGGTCTAATAGGTACAGACAGCCGTCGTTCATCCAGTAAAGGACAAAGGTTATTCCAAAATCTCCGTGATGCAAATTGCCTCAGTGAGCTCTCACCCTCTCTTAGCACAGAGTAAAACAACCTTAATGTGAATCAACAACTGCTTGATCTTAAACAGTTTTTGAACCAAAATATTATTCAGTTATTCAGTCATCAGTTTATTCTATTTAAAGCTATGAAATTAAACCAGGGGTGTCTACTCTCACTGCAGTGCTTTTTTATCTGTTGCAAATCTCTTGTTGGTATAGATTGTTATACAATCTGGTTTATAAGATAGTGAGTCACAAATGCTGTGGCCACTTTCAAGCTCGTTGTCTTTGTGCAATCTCTGTTTTTTCCTTAAATACTGTATTTTCATTTATGTTTTCATATTATTTTAAAGCCATTTGGACAGACTTTTTTTAACTGGCTTTTTTCTGAATTTTGGTAGTTAATTGAATTATCATGGGACTCATTTCAGTTTCTTTTTTTTCAGGTATCATAAAAACAGCATGCCACTTGATGAAGGAACTTCTCTTCAGAGATCGGGATTGGATACTAAAGCTGTGATGTTTGGCAAGTTTTTGTTACCTGTGCTGAGAACTCAATAAGTTTTGGAAGAATAACTTTTCTAGAGTTTCACAGAGGATTTATTAAACAGCTGTGGTGATTCTTGATGACCGGTGGTCTTGGAAAAGTGATGGAGACAGAAGAAAGGGAGGATGTTTCACAAAAACACATAGCTAAAGTGGAGGCAGAGGATGAGGTAACCCCATGCCACACCTGCGGGGTGTGTGGTCGCAGTTTTCCACTTCTAAGCTCTCTATCTCAGCACATGAGAAGACACACTCGGGAGAAGCCTTACAAGTGTCCCTACTGTGAGCACAGGACAGCTCAGAAGGGCAGCCTAAAGGCCCATATTAGAAGCCATAAATTGGGCCTTTTGAGCCAAAACCTCAGTGACAGGGAGGGGGATGGAGATGAAGGGCAGAAAGAGGATGCTGATATAACAGACCCTCCTGAGCTCAGCAGCCCACCTGATAAAGCTCATAACATTAATGGAAAGGTCAAGAAGAAAACAACCAAGAAAAAGGTTAAAGATGGTGTCGAGGTTAGCGATGGAGGTGATGACGGACCTTTTTCCTGCACCATTTGTGGCCAGGTTTTCCCTCAGGTATTACTCCTCAAGTCCCACATGAAAAGGCACCGTGGCTCTCAGGATCACGGTTGCCGGATATGTGGACGACGCTTTCGCCAAGCGTGGTTCCTCCAAAGCCACATGCGCATTCATCGAGTGAAAGCCCAGCTAAGGGGCAGCAAAAGCAACGAACCGCCTGCCACCATCAACGGGGTTCCTCAGGACCCAGCATTACTGACGAATGAAGAGTGCCTCTATGAGCTCTGTGCAGGCTGCGGTAACTTCTTCAATGACCGCAGGACACTGCAGATACATGAAAAGTTGCATAAACTGAACCACACCCGCACTCAGATGCAGAATCCAACACAAGGAAATGTGGAGTCCTCCGAGGTGCAAGATGCTAAGAGGCAGTTTTTGGAAAGCCTGAACCTCATTTCTGCTGGACCCAGGGAAAGCCCTGCAGAAGTGAAGCCGGGCAGTCGAATTCCTGAGCTGGATCCAATTTGTAGTTACCAGTCATGGCAGTTAGCTACAAGAGGACGGCTAGTGGAGGCTACAGAAAAATGTCTGGGATGGGAGGAGAGATTAGCTGATGCGGAAGTGGCATATGACATAGAAAAAGGCGAGTACGTCCCCTTGAAGCAAGAGAAGAAGAGAAAGCCAAATGACACAGCCGGCTCCAATCTTAAGAAGCGGAAGGGTGACGCAGGCCTTGATCACAAAGGTGGTGACAAAAAGATTAGCCAGAAGGACTCTATTCTGCTGAATGGACTTGGTCAAGCATTTTATGAAGCACTACAGACTAAAAACGTTAAAGATGTTCACTCCTCATCTAAACAGACGAAGAACATCAAGAGCCTAGACCAGGAAGGTGAGCCGAATACACCACAACACACCATAATACATTATCCACGACAGAGCTTAGACAAGAGTTTATATTCGTTGATCAGACTTAGAACAGTTTTGTACTTTTACCATTTATAAGCATCAAAGCATCAATTAAGGGCTGTATTTTATACAAATTGATTTCTGAAAGGTAAATGAAACTACAACTCTAGTACAAAAATGAGTTAAATTGGCAATATATTGTGTAAAGGAGAGATCACTAGCGAATTTCTAAATGGATTACAGCAGCAGTAATTGCCCTTTTTTACACAAGAATGTCTGTAAACATACAAACGCAGTAAGGTTACCTTACCTAATATTTTTAAGGGACTCTTAATATATAAATCTCAGCATTAATAATTGTTTTATTGTCTTAACAAATCTTTAAAAAACTGTTTTGGTTGGATTTGTAGATTCAGATTTAGATTTATTAATTGTGTGTCAGGGGTGGGACAAAATATCAATATGGAAAATTTTATGTAACAGCTTCTATTTGTGTACAATATCTTTAGACTGATGACAAATTTTTTTATTACTATTAAAACGTGCTGATGCTATGTTCTACCAGTCTGACTTACCACAATGACTGTCAATACTCATCATGGCAGCACCAGTAATCATGAAATAAAGCTAATAGGGCCAATATGAGCTGTTTGCTAATATTTTGGCATCTGCATTTATAATGGCCAATAAATAAACACAATTTACATTTAATAATAGCACAATACATAATTCTATCTTTTTGTCTAATTAGGGGTGTTTTTTCCTTCCTTAGCTAGATGTGTGATCCTTCTGTCTTTATTATACAGTCTTTTTGTATATGTAAAAAAAACTGACCTCATCTGTTATGAATGTCCCCTTCTGTTTTTACCTGCAGATAAAAAGAAATATTTCTGCGAGCACTGTGATTTCCACACTGTTGACACCGCGCTACTCAGGTCTCACCTGCACACGCAGCACCAGGACTTCCTGAGTTCCTACAGCAAACAGAGCACCAATTTGGACATAAGCAGAAGTGGTTCCAAAGCCTCAAGATACATGGACTACCTCAGAAGCAGGAGCATCCTGCTCAGTCAGCCATATTGGAATCCATATTCATGTTCTCCAAGCCAGGAGTTAGTAGAGTCAAACATTAAAATGGAAAAGACAAATGGCTCAGAGGTGAAAGAGCAGGGACATGCTACTGGTGATGCTAGCAGCCTCCTCAATCTTTCTTCTTTACCCATAACTGATGTTAGTTTTTCAGTAAAAACAAAGGGCCTGGTGAGACATCAGTGCCCATACTGCTCCCACACCACCAACTACCCAGAAGTACTGTGGATCCATCAGCGTGTTGCCCACAGGGTGGATGGCAGCAGTACCATGGCACCCAAGTGGGCACCTAGCATTAATAGTCTCAAGAGTTTAAAGGCAGGTGCTTCTCAGTGGAGACGCACAGGGCCGCCACCCTTCCTCGAAGGCAAGGACTGTCCAGCTTTGCCTACTCCAAGAACGCAGCGCACACAGCCTCCCGGGGTCACAAACCATGGCAGCAGCAGCAGCAGCAATAAGCAGTCGTCCCACAAGAATCAATCAAGCACCCTGAAGTCCAAGCATCAGTCAAAGGACTCACGACCTTCAGATGCGACACAGTCTAGTGGCAAGGTTGGACTCCAAAATCAAAAGAAGGAGCATAACCGAACAGTGGGGGGTGGAACTAAAGGCTCCAGCACCCAAGCTACTTCGTCAAACAGCATTGTGAACAGCATTGTGAACAGCAAGAGTCTCCAGAGCTTGCAGCCTACCAGCAGCCCAAAACAAAGAGGCAACAGAGCCACTGTGGAGGGGAACTTCCCACAGGAGGGTTTGGGTTTTATGCTGGCAAGAAATCGCAGTGGGAATTCTTCTTCTTCCTCTAACACAGATAAGCTCCACTCTCGCAGGCATTCAAGTGACTTTTCTTCAGGTCCCAAAGGTTCTGATCTCTGGGCTGCCATGAATATGTGGGGGCTACACGGAAGCAAAGCATATTTAGATACACTCCGAATATCTCAGGGAAAGAGTGAATCAACAGGAGAAACGCCAACGGACATCGATATTTTAAGTATCCTGAAAAACTACAGTCCACATGATCTGGCAGCTCTCTATCAGCACTGGGGCTTTGTTGATCCCAGGCTTGTTTCACAGGGTAAGGAGGAAGCTTTGCTTTCTGCTTTATTTGCTGTAAATGATCAAAGAACTGAGTACTGTTTAGATCAGGGGTGGGGAGCTCCAGGCCTCAAGGGCCGGTGTCCTGCAGGTTTTAGATGTGTCCTTGATCCAACAGAGATAATTTAAATGGTTAAATGACCTCCTCAGTATGTCTTCATGTTCTCCAGAGGCCTGGTAATGAACTAATGATTTGATTCAGGTGATATCTAAAACCTGCAGGACACTGGCCCTTGAGGCCTGGAGTTCCCCCACCCCTGGTTTAGATGGAGGTCTAACGTTTTAGGAAATAGGATTTCTATCATAAAAATCTACTGCTTTCAGAATGAGAAACAGATGTTTCAATGCTCTTTCACTACTTTCTACTTTCACAGCAACGATGCAGTTAAATGGAAACTTTGGAAATGAAGTCCATTCCTCATCTGAAGCTTCCAAACAGGTATGTTTTTGATTTTACTGATAATTTCTAGATTTGTATTTCAGGCAAAAAGAATTGTGAATTAAAATCATCTTTGCATCTTACATTTTAAAATCTTTAAGACTTTTCGAATCATTGATGATCATAATCGGTTATACAACTAGGTTGGTGGATATATACTTATAAAGTATATAAATATGGTTTAAAAATGGAAAGAATAGCATTTTGTGCTCCAAACCAATTATATCTGAAAACATAAGCCTACCTTTACATCATTATTGATTAACTTTGTGTTTATGTTTTTAAAATCCCGTCAGTTATCTGGTGCAGGGCAGTGTTTCTCTTTATATTTGTATCACAGTTCAAAGCTTAACTACAGTTTCATCTTAAAGGTAACTCAAGCCAGTTAACCGTAGATCAGTTATCTCACTTTCCAGAGTGAAGTACAGCATAAAGTCCCTGCTCACCCCGTGTACAGTATGTCTTTACCAACTGCGTGTTCCTGCTCTGTGTCTGTACCTCGTCTGTGTCTGAGCACAGTCTGTCATTTCTGCGCACACGTGCGTCTGCGTATTGTCTTGTATCTACGTGCGTGGCTGTCAGCTCCCACAACCTGGCTGTCTCTTCCTTCTCGTTTCCGTAACAGAAGCTGACAGGGATGAGGCAAACAAATAATAAAAAAACATTGTTGTCCCCCTCAGGGTAAAATTCGCACAGCATCTCCATATGGTGTGTCATCAGCCTGTCAGTCAGGCCTACCCTGATGCTACCTACAACTGTTCTTGCTTTCTCCTATTCCCCCTAGAGTAATGTGTGGGCAACTTTTTGAACACGAGTGATGGGCACTGTCTGTCTTCAGGGTTGAGGATTTCTAAGCCAGACAACAGTTGTATGTGAGGTGTAAAACAATACTGGAGAAACATTACTTTGTGAAAGATTTTTAAAAATTTCTATTTCTCCATATCTTATACAGCGTTTGTGCATCGCTCATTTCCATCTTTGTGAGGACACTCATAGACCTTTGTCTTAACTAAAGGGCTAAAGCCGACCCACCGGTTCTCAAACTGTGGGTAAAGCTACTGCAGGGGTGAGGGGTGTGGGCAGAATTTAATGAAAATGAAGTTGAGATAATGAATGATTTATTGCAGGGACTATGGACTGGTTCCTATATAAAGCTTTTCTACTCTACCTGAGCATTTAAAGTGCTTTATACAACTTGCTTCATTCATTCAGGCACTTTTTTCCATGCTTAAGTGCTTTTTTACTAACATTCACACACATTCATACTCCACTGGAGGCATCAGAGTAACTTGGACCAATCGCACCACCAACCTTCTGATCAGTAGTTGACCTGCTCTACCTCCTGAGCTACAGCCACCCTCAAAAACGAACCAGTTGAAAACCTGTGCCAGTGCTAACTAGTGTTACTCACACTTGTCTTCTGCAGATGAACAGCCACTCCACTTCATCCTCAGGGTCTCTGCATAAAGGAACGTAACGAAACATTGTGCTTCTCTTGGCTGCAAAGTTCTAACTGCTGAAAAAAGAGAGGCCTGCTGTTCTTCAAAGGAACTAGCCATAACTCCTGGAGAGCACAGAGGCTCTGGAATCTGCACAATATATGCAAAGCAATGCGGTGGACTTGTTTGATTTTGTATTATGACTGTTTGATTTGAAGTGTTAAGCATGTTACGAGTGTAGATATGATAGTTAAATAAACACATATGATGTGTTTTTGATTATTTTATTTGGTGAAAATGAGGCAAATGTTCAGGATTATTGTACAAAACAACAGGAAAGCATTGTAGAAGTACCACAGCCAGGTGGAAATTAAATGTAGAGCCACAACTATGTGGCTAAACAGATGTTCTCTTGGCTTTAGGCCCAGATATCTGCTTGTTTTTGGTTACAAAAAGTAGATCCTTGCAGAGCAATACAACATACCAAATCTTACAACTCATAATTCCACTAAAACAGCTGTGATGCAAATACATGTTTTTAACTGCTGTATATCAGTGTCGAGTTTAAGTTTGTTGTTTTGTTTCATGTACAAATGTCTTCTTTTTTAAGTTTTTAATTTCCTTGGTTGAGTATGTGATTTTTGTTGCAGATAACATGGTGTCACTTGTGTTTTCAGCCCACAATTTAAATAATAATAATAATAATTTAAAAACTGCAAACAGCTTTTGAGTCAACGTTTTGAGTTTGCCAGTTTTCATTTGGTCAAAAGTTATTTGTCACTATGCACCATCTCAAGAGTAGTCTGGGCAAATTCAGAGGACTCTCCTTTAAAATGCAAGTGTTGACCCAAGGCCTTAGTCACACAGGCCTAGAGACCCCTTTGCAAACCCCTGGCAGACTTTTGGTACCCTAACAGCTGGTGAGTCGTTCCCGGAGGTTGCTGAGTGAGATGTGTCGCGAGGAGGGTGCTGCACCAAAAATCTTCTTGTCATTGCTTTGGTCATTAGCATATTAATGCTATCACTCATTGTTTACACTGGAAATGTTGATTTGTATGCTAGCACTTGTCAACTTGTCACTTTAACCAAGACATTTCAGAAGGCACAACTCTTACTTTAAAGGTAAATGTTCTACATTGTCCAGTTTGCACTTTTTCCACTTCTCTTTTTTAAATATTTTTTGGCCTTTTTACAGCTTTCTTTGAAAGGGTACAGTGAAGAATGACAGGAAAGCAGAGGAGCGAGAGCAGGGAAGGCACAGGCCACAGGTCCGATTCAAACCCAGGCTGGCTGCTCTCAGCCATGCGGCATATGGGCACCTCACTACTCCCACTTTTCATTGTTTGACTGACACTCGACAAGTAGTTGGCGACTGTTTGCAACATCTTCTGTATAAACTGCAGGGGATCACAGCAATCGAGAGACCAAAGCAATAACAAGGTTTTTGTTGCGGCACCTTTTTGATGACCAATATCAACAAGCAGCCACCCGCCTGGTGACGTGGACGCCAGTAAATGCGATACCTCGAGAATGAGGAGACGTAGGAGCTTCAAATTAATAACACACTAAAAAATCTCTGACAGGGTTAATCACTGCCTGGTCTTTAAGGCTCTGCTATTTTAATATATATGATTTTTTTTTTCAGTGTTCAAAACTTTATATTTTGAACCCTACCCAAACCTTTTCTCCAGTTTTACACATTCCTCATGTAGTTTCACCAGTCCAGTCCACTTAAAATCAAAGTGGGCTGTATGTGGCCCACAGTGTAAAAAGACTTTGACATCCCTGCTCTAAGGTTTTAGCAGATGTTTTCACAGAACAACAAGCAACCCATTTTTCCCTAGCAACTGATGGTTGAAAGGTGGTTGCCAAACGGTCGCTATCCCTGTGTGACCAGGGCCCAAGACAGAAATAGTGCTTTTTTTCCCTGTCAGTTTGGAATCAGTATTTCTCCTAAGGTCAGATATGTAATTCAGTTGCTTCAAGCACAGCAATGCCATCGAGTCCTCTAGCTCTGCTTCAGGTTAACAAACTGCTCCGTTGTAGTTTACAGTAACTTCAGCAGACCAGTGAAACAGCACAACCAGAAACGGTGCCCTAGTGTTTATCTTGTATTTTGTTAATGAAAAGTCGTTGGCCATTTTCCAAACTTTAGGTCCAGGATTGATGTGAAAAATGAGCACTCGCGCTCGTCATTGAAGCCAGTCTTCAAAAAGGGTCTCAGAACAACCAGTGAATAATGAAAAGTGCTGCCATGTTTTTATTTTTATTTTAAATCCAAGTTTAAAATTTAAATGCAACAATTTGCTCTTATGTTTTCAATCAGAGCGCAGACATCTGCACTTCTTTTGGCATTATTCTAGTGATGTAGCCATTTAATGCTGTGATTTATTTCTTTTAGAAGTAGAACTTTTAGCAATGAGCATTTCTACTGATCCAAAACTCACCTCAGTCTCCAGTTGTTTTCATGTGTTTCATTGTTTGCAGATTTTAGTATGTTTACATTTCAATTCCTCCTTCTCAGTGTATTCATATCCCATAGAGACGTAGTCTATGCATTTAACTAAAAGCCATCAACTTATGGATTCTTGGGCGATCTTAAGAATCCATAATTATGAAAGCACTGACTTTAATCTGTGTGGAGAGATTTTTCTTCTTTTTGATAAATATTGTAAATGATAGTTTTATTTAATGGTTTTTGTTTGTTTGCTATGAGTCGGATTTCAACAATTAAAAGTATTTGATATTTGTAGTAGCAGAACATGTTAAAAACATGTTGAATTTTCGTCACCTTTGAGGTCAGGGTCAGCGGGGTGTGATGCTCCCACAGCAGGTATCACTGAGCCTGTGTTTTGCAACGACCCTGTAACTGTAACTCCTGTTTGGCATAAAGAGGCAGGAAGCACTGAGAGAGGGATATTTACGCAAGTCTGAACTCTTATGCAAACCTCCAGCTTACAGTTGAGCTCTCGCTGGGTTCATTTTTGTGACTATGTAAACATGTTTCATAGTTATTATGTTGGTTCAGAATTTATATTTTCGACAGATCAACAATTTTTGTCTGACTGTAAAATTCAAATAAAGTTGGTTGATGCCGATCTGCGATGGCGTTGGATTTTTTTTCTCCATCACACATCATCTTCATTCAGAAGCCTCACGTCACTGTGTCACGTTCCTTCTCAGCAGTTTAACAGACTCAGCTCTCTTCTTCTAGTTTGCACAATATATATTCGAATAAAGTACAAAGCATTTCTTCTGCTCTAATAAACAAAATGACAAAACTAAATAAAAATTGGGGTCATTCTTGCTGCAGTGTATCACTTCTACCAGCAGGTGGCAGACAACGTCAACAAATGAAGGAGTTGAAAGCCGCTTTTGTTTACTCATGGCTCTTGGATAAGTGGCTTTATACCTTATTTCTTCTACACTGTTTAACAAGTAACTCTTTCTCCTATTTGCAGTGAGACTTCCTTTATATGCTGTCTGTGTGTACAACTCACAGCAAAGAAATCACGACGACCGCTGATGAATTAAACCTTTCTCCCCATCATTCACCTTTGTGGTCTTATAAAAACACAGTTACAGCAGATCTTGTAGATTTAAACTCAAACTCCTCGTGCAACTTTCAGCAGCTCTTCCTTTTTTGTGTGTCAATTATAAAAATTCACAAACGTACATCAAAGCATAATTTTTAAGTCGGGGCGTGTGTGCCGCTGACCTGGTCTGACAGAGGAGAAAATAACAAGTGAATAAAGGCATTACTTGCACTGACTCTTGTGCAGCATATTGACGAGACATGAGCACAACTGTGCGTCTGCGTGTACACTGTGTGTGCCTGTGTGTCCTTGTCACAATGTGTTTGTCAGCGGGTCGTGTTGAATCTTGGTGCAGTGACAGCATCAGTTTGCTGCCTGAGAGACATCAGAGATCATGTTCGCAGAGCCACCAGCAAGGGGGCTGAGAGCTGGTGCCGGCCACAGGGACTGGGAGTAGATAATGTCAGGCAGCTCGGAGCAGGAGAAATGCAGTGGCATATGTTGTCTGACAGGGAAACGCCTGGATGTTGTCGGGCAGAGAGGGGGAGACGGTTTGGTGGCCAATGGGAGTGACAGCTGTCAGGAAGTGCTTTCTGTGTGTGTGAGAGCTACTGCTAAGAGAACCTAAGAGCTTTAGTCCTTCTAACTGAGTGTTTTCATTATAGGAAGTGCCTAAAAATGCTCTTTTGGGTGGATTAAAGGTCAGAATTTGCTCACTTGAATTTGGTTAGTTTGAAATTAAAGCTTGAAATCAGACTTGACGTCAGCTCTGTAGAAAAACATCACAATCTTGATATCATACGAAAGTTATGAGGCTTTGAGTTCTCTGATTTCATGAAGAAAAGTCTCACACATTATAATACATGAAAATAATTAAAACAATGATAAGCCACTGGGAGATTAGAGAAAAGATTCCTCTTCTATAAAATTGTAAAATTGGTAAGCAGATAATAAATACTGTCATGAACTCCGCTGGCAAATGCTCTGCTTAAGGATAATAAAAGGTAAGATTGAATTAGTGTGTGAAAGGTGACAGCTGGGTGTGATTATTTAAACAATCAAAGTTTGATTTTAGGGTTTAAATTAAGTGCAATCAGTGTAAGCACAGAAGCAAGATGTTTCTTAAACATGCTGCTTCTTTTGGTTAGAAAATCTCAACCCTATACACACAAAGCCATAACCGGCTATTTTCAGTGATTGGACTTTAGGTCGCTAAACAGAAATTACAAACGTAATCTAAGGGGGTCACAAGATAATGTAGGACTTTAGGACTAATCCTTGGTCCCAAAATCTCCTGAAAGAGAAAATTAGGAAAGAAAGTTAGAGATGTAAAGCTAAGATGGTGTGGTGTGATGCGCAAGAGGAGGGATAGTGGACGTTGAAGATGGAGCTGTGAGGCAGGAGGAAGATCACAGAGAAGATCCACCTTTTCCTTTAACAGTAGTAAGTATAAAGTGTTACACAGAAATTTAGCAAGCATTTTTAAAACTGTTATTTCAACTTTATTTTGTATTTAACAAAACCAAACCACAGTTTTACCTGTTCAAGCCTCTTAAATCACTAAAATTAAACAGCCACAGTTTTCTATTCATGCCACGGAAAATAAATAAATGAATGAGCAAAGAAATAAATAACATTTACAACCGCTGATCTCGGCCTTATGTCGCAAACGACAGACATGTTGCATTAATATTTCAACGGATTTTACACCGTTTTTGTCTCATCTTCTGCCATCTATTTGATTTTGAAACCTTTGCATGCACTTCATGAAGCTCTGCGTTGGCTTTTTGGTTGTGGATGTTGCCATATTTCCATATAAAAGCAGGTTTTAATTTGGCCTTACAGTGCATTGCTGTGCCTCAGTTTTACATACTGAGACCCCACTGTGACAGTAATGACTAGGCAGCGGGCTAAAATACTGAGCGCTGCCTCAGACAGGTGGACACTACCGATAAGGAGATTTCCCAGCAGCCTCAGCAGGTGGTTGTAAATGTTGTTCTGTACACCCTGATCGTTAGATCATGTGACCCGGGTCAGATATGTGATTCCTACCTGAATGCGTGCAGTCCGACTCGGTTGACGAGAAGCATCCACTAAATTGTAATAAGAAAAAAAGAAATTAATAACACAGTTCTTTGTAAACTTCTTTCACATATTAAGCATGTCCCAAATATTCAGAGAGAATCCAGTTCAGTCAATGAAAAAAAAAAAAGTAAATAGGGAAAAAAAGGTGCATCAATTTCCATTAAGCTGGAAAGTGTTTTAAGGTAATCTACACCTTTATGAGTTTAGATTTGCAGATATCCATATGAGAAAAACTGCTTATAAGATGTAAGCTTGAAGTGAGGAGTGTAGAAGCTGCTCAGTTTATATATATATA